GGAATTCTAGGAATCGTATGCGGACCGTACGCGAACCGTTTCCAGCAGAACACATCACATTATTGCGGGCTTCTCCGTATTCTGTCCGTTCGCGAACTCCGTATCCGATCCTACCACGAATGATGAACAAACGGATCCGTACGCGATCTCAAATTGAATTCTGATTCGCGTATTGATCCGTTTGTTCATCATTCGTGGTCGGATCGGATACGGAGTTCGCGAACGGACAGAATACGGAGAAACCCGCTATAATGTGATGTGTTTTGCTGGAAACGGTTCGCGTACGGTCCGCATACGATTCCTATTTCAACCGCGCGCGAACGCGGAGAGTCCGTAACGGGTCCGTTCGCAGTTTACCTGTGTCATAGTTTTTTTCTAGATTTTCGTCCGTTTTTCGACAATTTTTCAGATTTTTTTCCCCCTTGTTCGGGGGTTTCCAACACAAAACTTGTCAAAAAGCTGATAATCAAGAAGAAAGGATCGAAAATTTTGAGTTACGGTTGTTTTCGATACGGGTACCGTTGGCCACGCCCACAAGCATTTCTCTTCCACAGCTCCGAATTTTTCCTACCAGAAAATAGCACGATTTCCAGCGACCTCAAAATCCACGCATGCATAGCCACGATGTATGTTGTTACCAGAGTTTGTAAATTCAGTCAAGTGCAGTTATAGAATGCCTCGAGGCGCTGCATTCATCATTGGATTATTGTTCTTTGTGTCTATTTTTGATGTTTTCAGAGGTGAATTGAAGCATTGATTCTGAAACCAAATACCTTAAACCTGTAATAGAAGGGCCTCCTAACTTCAATGTTTGAGCCAATTTTTCTCGTTTCCATTTATATGATGTCAAAAGTTGTCAACTGAGAAATTGCTTCTCTTATTTCAGGAAGTGTATTCTCAGTTCAACTGAGTCAGTTGACACACCTTTGATATCTTTCATAGATATTGAGGTAATTGAGCTCAAACTGGACAAAGTGGGGGCTCTTTTATTAAAGGTTTAACGGTAGTAACTTCAGCAAAAGTGCACAAAGATGACTATTTGGCCAACGAGCTGGGAAATAAATATGAAGCAGGAGAATTAGATTTGGAAACTCAATCCGACTCTGATAATCACAAAGATCATTTTCCAATACTGAAAATTCTATACTGGTATTTAATATTTAGAAATAATAGTCATATATAATTATAGTGTTTCGTGTGGGTATCGTCAAGCGTTTGACGAGTTCTCCGGATTGCTCAAAGAAAAATATCCCGGAATGAAAATCCAAGGAGGCAATTTTTCTCCTGTCTCTTGGAAGGCCAATCTTTCTCGAGTATCAAAAATTGTTCTGTTTTGAAAATTAGTGTTAGTTTCAGGTGATTTCATTAGCCAAATCATCTCTTCTCATAATCATACTAACCGGTTTCAATCCATTCGAATCTCTGGGATTCGGATATCCCCACCTCCTTCAATATGCCCATAGCAACAAGTTGTCTTCTGGATTGATGCTTTTTATGTTTGCCAACATGTTAGAAACAAGTTTATCTTCCACTGGAGCTTTTGAGATCTACATGGATGACAGTCTAATCTGGAGTAAAATCGAATCTGGACGTGCACCCACTCATGAAGAACTCATGAATCTCATAGAGGCAAAATTTAATAAATAAGATTGATTCCAACTAGGAACTTTTTTGGTCTACAATTTCTTTTTTTAAAATAAATTTTTTCTCGTACACAAACTCAGAATTAGAGTGAAATCATGATTGCGATAGATTTATGGATAATAAAAACTTATAAACTAATAACTGAAAACCTTCCTAGCTCGTAAATTATTCCAAACAAGAAAAAAAAATTGTGTATCGTAGTTAGGACCGTTTCCAGGTGTGTTTGCATTTCGATGCCGAAAAGTTGACGTTGAGTTGTCCTCTTCCCCACAATTTATGTCGGCTCTCCAAGTTGCTTATTCGTCACATATTTCATCTTTTTTACTTTCTTTTTTCTTCTCAAAAAATATTTTTTGTTTCTTTCCCTTCGAACAATAAAATGGCCATGGCTGAACCGTTAACAGAGCAAAATCTAAAATCCATTAGATGATTGTATAGAGATTGTGTAAAAATTTTGTCAATCGCCGCATCGTTCATCTCTGTAGCTTTCCAAAAAGTTTAAAAACTGTTTCTGCTTACACTTTTTTTTACAGACCTCTTATGACGGCTGCTCAGGATAAATCCAGAGGTTTCTGATTTTGTTTTTTTTTTTTGAATTCACAACCTTTTTTTCAGTTTATGAAGCTCTGAAACTAGATGCAGACATCGCTCTACCGCCCATTCTCCCACTTTTTGTACCAAAATTTAACTTAACCATTGAAGTAAGGTGTTTATTTACTGTATTTCCTCTAATAGAAGCCCACCCAGACCGTCAACTTTGAGATCAATTATCTTGATTCTTATGAAAGATGTCAAAAATTGATCAACGTATAAAATATTGGTGAAATAAGCTAACAATTTGAGTGGCACTCTATTGGTTTGGGAGGAAAAGTAACTGTCCGTTTTAAACTTAAACGGATCATTTTGTTGTTTTATTTGCTAATTAAAAAAATGGACAGTTTCTTTCCTTTCAACCTAATACTTTTAAAAACGGTATTTTTCCCGGGTCAAACTTGTTTTATTTTTCAGAGGGCTCAAGAAATAGTGGACCAAATGCAGGTGATGCCACTACCACCAACCCCACCTCCAGAGGTGAAACTTAATTTATCCGGAAGCCTAAAACCATTGTTTCAATTTTCCAGCCAACCAAACAAATGCCAGTTGATCGGGAGTTCATTGATCTTCTGCATGAATTGAGGCCTACTCCGTTTTTGTGGCCAAAACCTGCCGATTATATAATGTCAGAAGAAGACCAGAAACTATGGAATGCCACAAGAATGAGAGAATATCGAAGAAAATCCAATGAATTAATTGAAAGAAGTAAAGAAATGTTGAATGGGTTGAAAGCTCAGTGTACGATAAATACGGTAATTCTAAAGAATCTATTGGATAAGAATACAGTAGAAGAAGAAGTGAAACGAAAAGCATCACAGTTTTTGCGTATCAGTCAGGACAGTCTAATGTTGATTCCAGAGATTTTGCAGTTGTTCCAACGTAATCTTCATACTCTTTTTTTTTTGTTGAAAAGGGAATCTTTTCAGAATACTGGCGACATAGAGAGAAAGCTGCAGAATCTCACTTTGAAATGAAATCACTCGTATATTTGGAAAAAGTTTTCAAGCTCATGAATGATTATGAGATCCGCAAAGCTGTAAGTCATCAAGATTTGTGAAACGAAACAGATATTCTTCAGAACAAAGCACGATCTCGATCTCTGACTCAAATGATGAAGAAGATCAAAGATGCAACGTTGAAAGCTGAAGCTTATGAGTTTTTCATGGTCAGTCAACCAGCTCCACATTATTCGCATTACTTAGTTATTGTAGGATAACAAACGAGTCCGGAAAGTGATCGCAGAATTGCACAGCGTCGATACGAAATTCAAGGAGACAGTTGAGTTCTGGTTGGTTCAACAACTCCAACCCATTTCTTCGGATGTAAAATAATTCATTGTCAATTCAATTTAATTCAATATGTAATGAAATATGCTTGGTACAACGATATTAGTAAATCGATAATCTAGAGAGATCTGTTACAAGAAGGAGATGGAATTAGTGGAAAATTGCAATGGGGAATAACCGAGATCTGACACACATTGGAAAAAGATCTGCGGGAACGGGAAATATTGTAACAAGCATGTAACACATTTGAAAGTGTGGGATGTTCTAACAGTTTAGTCTTATTTATCAGAATACCAAATTCTAACAGTGTTGTCTGGCTCTATACCTCCAGAAGCCATCATATTCAAAATGGGATGAGCGTCTGTGGCGAGAACAGGCTTTGTGTGCTCTTCCATTACTTGTATCACTCTCTTCGTCTGAAGGTCCCAGACAAATATTTTTCCGTCCTCTGAACCGCTGATCACCCGCTGAAAAATGACCATGTCAAGCATCCGCAGGCGAAACTTAATACTTACTCTTCCATGGGATAGAGATATACCTGCGAAAATGCAATACTTGGAATTTTGATGGCCGGAGTAGTACTTCACTGGTTTCTCCTTGGAAACGTCCCACATTTTAATCTTGCTGAAAATAAAGTTTTGAACAATTTTGAAAGCTTGCTCTGAATTTAACCTGTTCATGTGAGAAGATAGAATAAACTTCCCATTTGGAGTAAACTCAACGAATGAGACAGCATCGTGTTCGAGATCTTTCAACGTTTTTAAGCAGTGTCCGTTAGAAACATCCCACACACGAATACATCCTTCGTATGAAGAGCTCGCAACGCAGCTTCCATCGTGGTTGAAAGCAACGCATGTTACAGGATCAGTATGGGCCGGAATCAATCGTACACACATTCCGGTGATCACATTCCATAAACGAACTGTTTCGTCGTATCCTCCGGAAACCACTAGTGATGTTTGAGGATTGAAAGCACACGAGAAAACGTAATGGGTGTGGCCTTTCATAATTCTCCAGCAATGTCCTGATGACACACTAAATATTCTCACAGTCATGTCATCAGAACCTGAAGCAATGTACTGACTGCTCGAGTTCCATGATATATCGTTGATGCCTAGTTGATGGCCAAGAATCTTAAAAATAAAATTTTGCTCAAGTTATTCAATAAAAAATCTAACTGTTCGTTCGCATGTCAAGTCCTTCATGCTCCACAGTTTGATGCTTCTGTCAGCTGAAGCCGTGGCAAGATAGCCGCCACATGGAGAAAATTTCACTACTGATATGGATTTTTTATGCCCTGATAGAGTTGCGATTCTTTGATAATTGCAATCCCGGTTGTCATCCGGTTTGGAGCACGGCTGATGTGGCGGAGGAAAGACAGTATTTTCAGAAATTGTAGCCATTGTTATCAGATTTTCCTGAGAATCAGACGATTGTGTCGGTTCCTCGACATCAACTACGGGAGGGCTAGATGATGTTTCTTCAGCAGCTGGTGCAACTGCCCGTGGCAGCTTTCTGGACGATTTGTAGGCACCGTGCGTTGCACGAACAGCTCCAAGACTAGAAATTGGACCACGACTCTTATTTTTCTGTGCACCGAATTGGGATTGTTGTGATTGTTGAAGCCCAAAAGCAAATTGCTGATATCCAGATGCCAACTTGGTGTTGCCTAGTGCTGTAACCTGTTTGGCTCTATTTATTACAAGAAAAGTTCGAACAGTTCTTACTTGTTCATACTGGCTCTGGGGTGTTGAACAACGTATGTCGCCAAGACCTAAAGGTTGATTGTCCTCTGGAGCTAAAGGTTGGCTTATTGTTTGCAACCCATGTGGCGACTGGCTTGGTTCCATTACTGAAATTTTATGAATTTTGAGTTTGATTCTTTGAAAAACTACAAAATCAGCAAGTTTAACGTTTATCTGAGGATTTAACTATCAAAAACCTTTAAAAAATGTAGCCTAAAATTGGAGACCGTACGAAAGTGTGAGAAACGCGGCGGCGAGAGAAACGAAAGGGGGAGAAACGAAAGCGGGAGAAAGCCTGCATGCGCGTTAAATTACGACGCATTGCGGAACAACCGCATATTTCACTCAATTTGCAAACACAAAATCGGTTGAGAAATATAATTTCCAGCATTAATTCGAAATAAAATGAAAGAAAAAAGTCAAGTTGTATTGTCTTGCTGTTCATGAGAAAAAAATACGTTTTTCTTAAACCAACTCATGCATAATATCTCAATGAGATATGCATTGCATATCTCAATAGATTTGAAACACTCATCTGTAGTTGTCATTAATAACCCGATTATAGTTTTAAAAAATATACCAAATATGTTTTCTATTGTTTAATTTGTCACTTTGAACAATATGTTCGTTGTTCATTTGTTCTATGCGAAATTCTAATTTTGGTTCTTTTACATCTAGAAACTGAAATCGATCCATAGCAAGAACCAAACTTATTTAGAACTGCTCAATGAATCTGGAATTAATCATCCTATTTCCGAACAGTTTTCTGTTGCTAAAAAATGTTGTGAGTGAAACAATTAGTTTCCGAATATGTTAAAGGTGGGGGGACATGAAAAAAATAATGTTCTCGAAATTCCGTTCAAATATGCCCCTCGAGGAGTTGAACTTGTCGAGACTAGTATTGACGGTGCGGCGCCGCTACCGACTGAGCCACGCAGGCAAAGAGGCAGCCGGCGCCCGATTGCATTCATAAAGGTGAGGACGACAGCTGTACGCAGAGTGACATTAAGCGTTGTACACCGTCACGGTAGAATGCATACCCTAGCTACAAAAATCCTACGAAAAATCTCCTGTCCCCCCACCTTTAAGAATGAAGTAGCTTCTGTATGATTTCGGTTAAGGAACATCGGAACTTTCTACACTATATTCTTCAATTAAATGTTCCGAATGTTCTGAATGGTAGAATGTTTGGGATAGTCGATTCTGGCAGGATTCTGGAATAGTAAACTGCTTCTTTGTGCAGTCATCGAAAGACAATTCAACGAGTTACAGGAAGACGTAAAATCGAGTTATAACTCACAAAATCAGCAGGCTTTAAATAGGTTTCACATACATAAGGAAATTTTTAAAACTTCAGCTATTTTTCAAATACTGTCTAATTTTTGGAAGCAAATACTGTCTAATATTTGGAAGCCTAAAGTTCCCAACACTGTATCATCATTATGTTTTTTTTTTCCACAGGGTCAAAATTTCCACAGGCTCAAAAAATTGGAATTTCTTTCTTATTTCATGATGTCATTCCTAAGATGAAAATATGTTTTTTAAACCAATCCCTGCATGCGAAAAAAAGTGTTTTCTGTGATTAAGAAACAATTCAATTCATATATAGCCAATCACAAATACCTCCCATGTAAGTATGTCTGCTCAGTATAAACAAATCGTTAATTTAACAGTTTTGTATATAGAATATATATTTTTTTAAATATTGACATTTCTGCATGCAAAACTGGGTGTGAATCGAATTTGTTTCAAAGTTTTTACCTGCTAAATTTGAGTGAAATATACGGTTGTTCCGCAATGCGTCGTAATTTATAGCGCATGCAGACTTTCTCCCGCTTTCGCTTCTCCCGCTTTTGTTTCTCCCGCTTTCATTTCTCCCCCTTTCGTTTCTCTCGCCGCCGCGCTTCTCGCGCTTTCGTACGGTCTCTAAAATTGCTTGGTGCCATCTTCAACTTGTCCGAGAGTAATTCGCACCGAGAAAAGTTTCGGCCGCGCCAGAGAAACTTAGTCCATTTCAGTTTTCGCGCCCAAATAAAAATGTTCGCTTCGCAAAAACAAAATACGCATTTCATTCGCCCGATTGGGAATCTTTTTTTGTTTCGACATTTGCAGTTTTTCAGATTCCAACGTAACAATGTGTGGAAGCGACGATAGCTTCGAAGAGTTTGTCGCCGAATCTCAGGAACCAACTTCTTCGAGGAGAAGAGTGAGTTTTTATTTAAAACATTCAAACTAAATATCAAAATCCTACGTTTTAGGTCCATTCTACTAATGATAGCGAAGTTCCTTGCTCGCAGAGACCGGACGCTGCTCATGATACTATGGTCGAAAAGTGAGTTTCTTTCCTATTCCGTCATTGAAACTCATTTTTTAAGTCTCGAAGATGAAGACCTGCCAGTTCGAGATGAGCCGGATGACGTCATCAAAATTCTTGTGGCTCCGACATTCATTGTGGCTACGGAGAGAACAAACCAATCATGTAAGCATTGGATATATTTTATAACGCAAAAATGTTTCATTACAGTCACATGGATGCTGTGAATACGTTCGAAGAAGTGCTGCAAATAGCCACAGAACAACACGTTGACATGATTCTTTTAGGAGGAGATTTGTTCCACGAAAACAATCCCTCTAGAGAAGTTCAGCATAGAGTTACTCAGCTTCTTCGTCAATACTGCTTGAACGAAAAGCCAATTGCATTAGAGTTCCTATCCGATGCTTCTGTGAATTTCAACCAAAGTGTGTTCGGACATGTTAACTACTACGATCAGAATCTCAATGTTGGTCTGCCGATTTTTACAATTCACGGAAATCACGATGACTTATCCGGTAAAGGACTCACAGCACTCGATCTTCTTCACGAAGCTGGTCTTATTAATTTGTTCGGAAAACACAGTACTATCGAGGAGTTCATTATTTCACCCATTCTGCTTCGTAAAGGCGAGACTCGTCTTGCCTTATATGGTCTTGGTAGTCAACGAGATGATCGACTTGTTCGAGCATTCAAAGAGGAGAATATAACTTTTTTACGCCCGAACGCTGGAGCTGAAGATTGGTTCAATTTGTTCGTTCTCCATCAAAACCGTCCTCGTCGCGCAGTACACCGATCGACTGGAAACTTTCTTCCGGAAACACTGATTCCTCAATTTTTCGACCTTCTCATCTGGGGACATGAGCATGAATGCAAGCCTGATCCACAGTACGTCGCCTCGTCTGAAGCAGTTGGGGACGGCTTCTATATTCTTCAGCCAGGTTCGACTGTCGCTACTTCACTGACAGCAGAGGAAGCTTTACAGAAGAACGCATTCGTGATTAAGGTTTTTCTTTTGCAAAGGAAAATAAAATTTTTATCTCTAATACTTTTAGATCAAAGGAAGAAAGTTTGCTTCAAAGCCGATCCCACTGAAAACTGTTCGCCAAATGGTATGCGATGAGCTTTTGTTGGATAAAATTCCTCCAGGAAGTAGGCCTGTCACAAAAAGCGAGAGACCTAAAACCAGAGATGGTCGATATATTGACGAAATCGCAATTGAGGTGAAACTGAAAGAAATGATTGCAAAAGCAACAGAAAATCGAGGTCCAAGACAACCAGAATTGCCTCTGATCAGGCTCAAAGTGATTTACGATGGTGACTGGCTTCATGTGACACCAGCAAACGCGAAACGTATTGGTCTTCGCTATGAGAACATTGTTGCCAATGCTGTAGATATGGTATCAATTAAGAAGAACGAGCCAAAGACCAAAAGAAGAAAAGAGACGGAAGGTAACGACGTACCTGAAGATTTTGGAAATGTGTCAGTTGCGAATCTTCAATCTATTGTAAGATTTTCTTGTAGTTCGATAATTGTGTTTTTTTTTCTAGATCAACGACTACTTCACCCAAAAGCCCTTGGATGAGCAGATGACTGTACTGAAACCGTTCGGAATTGGAAAAGCGCTTGATCAGTACTCGGAAATTGAAGAAGGTGGAACAGCGGCCGCAGCGAATCGAAATTTTGATGCTTCTTTGATGGTAAGTGAAGAGACAAGTATTTCGTGATTTTATATTTTCGATGGTTCAGAATCAAATCAACGTTGTGCGGAGTATGCTGAAAAAGATGCCTCTCCCTCCAATTGACGATTCATCTGACCTAAATGGATTTCATGATCTCATCGTGAAAGATTTGTTCGATATGAAGAGAACGGAGAGCGAGGTATTTGTTAACTGTGATCAATTGCAATTCAGTTTTTAATTCCAGAAATCAGGGAATCCTATCTCAGCTCCGGGAATGGAAGAAGATGAAGACAATGATAGTCAGTTCTACATTCAACCTCAATCTTCAGTCACCAACTTCAACGATGGCGATGACGATGATCAGTTCATGGATTCCGATGAAGACCCAATAATTGCGAATTCAAGAAGCTCAAAGCCAAGTACTTCACGTGGTAGAGGCAGAGGTTCTAGAGGGAATACTGTTCGGGGAAGTACTCGCGGAAAAGCTGCTAAATCAACTTCTAGACCAAACCCGGATTCTGACGACGATGGATTTATTGTGATTAATGACTCGCCGTCCCCACCGCCCGCATCGCGAACCGCTAGAGGAAGAGGAAGAGGAAAAACGACGACAACTTCGAAAAAGAGAGATATTAGCTTTTTCTAATTTAGTTTCGAAGAATCCATTTGCGGGTCTTCTTTTTATTGTTCCGGTTTTATTTTTATAAGTTTTGATAGTTTGGATCTCTATTGTCAATAAAACGTTCCAGATGTCCTGTTGTTGTTGTCGCATATTTGAGACTAAACGGTTCTGTTTCAAAATGTTTGGTGCGGGATTCCGAAAATTCCGGAAGCTTTTTTCGGAATGATTCCGAATATTTTTTCCGATTTAAACTTTTGGACTACGGTATGTCAAAGGCGCACGCAAAAAAAAACTTGCGGGTCTCGACCGGAATCCTTTCCAGTATCTTTCGTTGCGTTTTCGAAATCTGTTTGTCGATTTTTAACTAATTTTTTGCACTTTTGTGATGAGAAAGTTGAATTTCTACTAGAAATTTAGGAATCAGAATTATATTATATTGTCGAATTAAAAAAAGTGGAACCTGGAAAACTTCCCGGTCAGTGGAAAACTTCCCGGTCAGGCTTCCCGGTCAGTTTTCGAGGCCTTGCCCCAGAAACACTACGGTAATAAACGAAACTTATTTCTGTGAATTTAGTAAAATTTTCTGGACAAAATTTAGATTTCTTGGTATGAAAATGATCGCTAGCATCTCTTGAATCTGTTTTTCATCAAAAAACCGAACTTAATTGCGAAAGTAGCTCGAACGAGGAGAAAATCTGAAATATTCCGTTTTTGCCGCACTTTTTCGTAGATCAAAAAAAGCTACGCCTTTCAAATTTTCAGGTCCGACTTTTTTTAATTCGATCATTCTGTTGAAAACAGTGCAGCAATCTGTTAAATAGAAGCTACTGTAGGAGATGTAGTCTGCATATCAAACTTCTTCTAGGTTTGTGTTTGCATTTTTAGAGTAATCGACTTTATATTCTTCTTTTTCAACCATAAGTTTTTATGAAACAAATGCAACTGCGCTGCGGAACCATTAGTAGCCATCCAGCGCTGCGCCTTTAATATATACTACGGTATTCTGTCGCAAAAACGGTTTTTGTTTTCTGGGAATTGTCACACTGAACGGAACATTATCCCTCTGCGATTAATTTGTTGTTACTAGAGACTCTCATGGTTTGAAAATGACCTGTTTATTCTCATGTCGTTAACAATCTTGTCTTCCGAGTTCCGTTGATGTTCGCTTGATTATAAAATGCTGTTTTACAGAAATATCCGGATCGAACTGCATTCCCAAATCGATCAGCAATTTGGAGAAGTTATAAAGTTCTAATTTATGTGAGTTGTTCTCCAATTATGCTTGTATTAGAAAGTCCCTCCGTTATTCAACATATGCATTCTTTCCGTGTTTTGTAGTCTGACTATCGAGCAAACATCATTGACAATAGACCAATCAGGTATTCACCCTCCAGCACTAATTAGTGACTAAAATTGTACAACTCCGTATCTCTAAAAACCTCCGACCATAAGGCTGATAACTGATAAACCGACAATGGCCCGCAGTATTTTGTGTGTTGTTGCTACAGATGATGAAATTAAACAGATACCCTTCCGCTGAAAAATCAGAAACCATACACTTTTAAAGTTGGAATTTCGTGAGTTCTGGGATGCGCGACAGACGCATTGCGACAGAAAAGTGAGAATTTTCGTTGAAATTCGTATGAGAAACACTGAAAGTTTGGTGTCTGTATGCTAATGAGGAATGATCGAAAAATCATCATCGTCATCATCACAGTAGGCTCCGCCCAACTCTGAAATACATTCAGAATTCGTCATTTTTAAAAGAATTCCATTGCCGAACTGAGTGTTTTGCTGCTCACAATGCCACAATTCATTCTCACATTTGGCGTTTGATGTCAAAATTAGAATCAAATTTCTAAAGATTCTTTTAAAAATCAAAACTTTTTCCAATGACACCTTCATGCGAGAATGCGTTGAAAACCTTTGTTGGCTAGACTTCCCGAGCCGGGACTCTCAGCCCCTCTGTGCCTTCAATCTTCTATTTTTTCTTTATTTTTCACATTAACTTCCTAGAACGAAACATATAAACATTGGGAGTCATTCCTCAGTGTAACACTATTTGTGTGACCTCTTTTTTTCCTTCCTGGCTTCCTTGATGATTCACATGGACAAATCCTATGTCTGGATGAGCAGGTGCTCCTCAACGGAAACCTAGTTGACTACTCTCTTGTTTCACACGTATACTTCCACGAAAAGAAGATCCCATAAAAGGAAATGCATCAGAACACAGTTCCAGCGTTGCGTCATATTACAGTATTCAGTAGCGAACAAATCTCAGTTCTCATGCAATAAAATCAAATACTTATCTGGTTGATTTTGATCCGAACGGAAGGAATTCTCCTCTCCTTCGGCTACGACCACCGGCGTTTCTCTTGCATAGCTCCAATTTTTTCAAACCTGAACAGTATATCATGGTGAACGGTTTTGCAGTTTTGGTTTTAGGTTAATCAGCGAGTTATAAAATCAAATGGTAAATTAAAACTGCGTTTCTCGTCTATTCTGTGTTCTCTGTGATTTTCGCAGTGCCTATAGTCGGATTTGCAGAAACTACACTTGGTACGAATTCGCTGTTCGTAGCCTGTTGTATGACTGAAACCGATAATCTCTGATGTCCAATTTGTGATAATAAGATTTTCACTAGTGACAGTGATTGGTCTTTTACTGTAGGGTTTTTGTTTGGTGTAGTCAGTTATTGGGCCATGTTTGAAATTGTCCTTAAACCTTTGAATTACCCTCGTATGTTCTTATGGTTCCCTCATTCCGAATATGCTATTCGCCTCAAAACGTTTTTTTCGCCTAAACTTCCTTGAACATGATTCTCCATGTTTATCTTTCCTTCCCGCGTGTTATCACTTCCCGGTGTTCTCTGATGATGCGGAAACATAGTAGATGCTTTTTCTTTCTTCTTCTTCCTCATTCCAATGACAGGAGTCCTTTGTTAAATTGACCATCTATCAAGTCTCGAAAAACTAGAGTTGTAATTTGTAGGGTTAGGCTGCCCTCATAATGTTACATCGTCTATCAAAACAGTGTCACTTCCTTCTCTGCTGTCGTCATCTTTGAATTACTTCCTTTTCCAAACACTAAAGGAAACCCCCTGTATTCGAGTATTTCCTACACTTTACATCCCTTCTTCCCACGGGGCAAGACCGAAGTGTGAAATGTGGACTTTCACCTGATACTGTCATGTAAAAGGCTGAAACTGAGGCCCCTGAAGAGTCTATTATCATACCTTGAGAGTACACGTGACAGAATGTGCGTTGTGTCTCATTTTCCACCTATTATCATATGGTTGCCTTCTACTATAAGACCACACCATCTGCATATCATACACGCAAACACATACACACATTCTGTTTTCGATTGTACAAGAACTGTTTGTGTCGTTTCGCCGTTTTTCAAAGGTGGCAGGAAAAGAATGCGATACAGGGAAAAGGAAGCGAAAGATTAAAAGTTGCAATTAAACTGAACGACGGCTTCCGATTTTTGCTGTTCAGTTGATAACGTAGGAGATTGCAAACGATGTGGATGAGGGAGGTGGAACACAGCTTGTATGGATAGAAAGTCTTCTTGGAATGCAGTCCTATTTCCAACTCCGTTAATGTCTTCAATTGCAATCGTATGTGAAAAGTGCAAATGTGATGTCTGGAAGCTATCAAAAAACGCTAAAGATGACGTTCTATCGAAACGGAGCTGATTTTTTCTTTCCCGGAAACCTAGTGATAATTTTTAGAAACACAATTTCATGTGACTTCGGAACCGACAGCTTTTGAAATTTGGTTCCTTTTGAAAATGCCGACATCTTTTTTCCTGAATTGAAAAACAATATTTTCTGTTTACAGTCACAGATTTTTTTGTATGAATGCGGATCGCAAGAGCAAAATATGAATGTTTTTGAGGTATCCCCTATTGTTCGGTTTCACATATTTTTGCTGTTCGAAATATTCCCCCAGTAGTCACTTCCGGTTACATTTGAAACTCTCAAACGTTGCACTTTTTTAAAAGTTGAATAGTTCATTTCCAATACGATCCCGTCATTTCGACGATGTCGCAAATGTGAATCGGAAGAGAGTACTCATTTACATTCGTAATTAGATGCGTTTTGTGCACTAGACACAGACCACCCGTTTTGAACGATGAACAAAGGAATGCCCTTTTTATGACGAACATTGAAAAAGAAGGAGAACATGGTTGAGGCTATTTGGTGGTTTCAAATGGTTCTAAAGAATAAAATAGAGAAGACAGGATTATGGTAATCAAGTGTCCTTTTCGTTTGAGGTGATATCCGGTGATCGCTCTCTCACTTTCGAACCCGATGGACATAAATTATGGTTGATCTATGTATTCTGATTTTGAGGGAATCATGTCACGAGTTGACTGACTGCGTGTTCTTTGTCGTGGAATGTTTATAGCTGACATTGGCAATTATTGATGAGATTAGTGATATTCTAAAGAATTCCTCAGTGATTTCCGAATTTGGTAATCAAGAAGTTCTTAAAATTTGGAAAAATGTTCATCCAAAGTTTGGAATCCAAACCAAAATAAAGTCCAAATAGTTTAGATCCCTCCCAAAAAAGATAGAATTGCAAACTGTTTTGTTTATATTTTTCGAAATAGCAATGGCCCTGGGAACCTGGCACCCACGCTGTCCGATTAATTATCCCATCCGTGTTAGCTACCGCGCCCCGTCCCTCCCGGTATCTATACTACTAACCATGCAGAATTGAAATTCGTAGTAGTAGTAGTAGTATAGATAAGATCCGAGGTCACCCACTCGTTCTCGCTTTATAGTTTTTTTTTTCGGACCCATCGAGGAACCTGGCTGATCTACGATGTCCTCAAGTGTATATCTTCGCTGATCAGTGATTATCTAGTGCAAGCCATTGGAAAAGCTGACACCTCAGACTCAGTCCCAATCAAATCACCTCGTATCCCTTCGTTTCTTTTCCCCTTGTTGTCCTGTCAGAATTTAGTTCCGCTCATTAATCATCATCATGTTCTTTTCACCACTTCCACTATCA